AGGGTTACGTTTCGCTGATTCAAGCCAAAAAACGAAGCAAAATTAGGTGAACATTGATCAAGCTTTTGAGTGTTGGTGCCGACTAAAAATAAAGGGTATCAGAAGCCATGAGGAGGTTGCTGCTCTCCTTCTGGACAGGTAAATTAAACATTTAACAGACCTGGCAAACAGCTGACCTTCACCTGACTGGCAAACAGTACAATAGAGAGTTAGAACTAGAGCTAGCGAAGGGAAGTGCACCACTAACTGTTTGGGAGGAGTTAAACTTGGGTTAAATTTGAAACAAACCAATTTAACAAGGTATTACTTACTTGTGATTGGCTGACAGAACTCATTGTCAGATGGAAGTCCATAAATGCATGTACAGGTCTGACCTCTGACATCACTGCATGAATTACTGTTGTTGCACATCTCACATGGCCAAGCAAAACCATCCTCACAATTACAAATGAGTCCGTTAGTGGAGTTTGGAGAGCAGGCTGTATGTGTGGAAGATAAATGTCATAGAACTGTTATTAATATCATTGTAGCTTTATGTTGGTCATTTCCAACCAGTCTACAACTATGTACTTTGGATCTACACTGCTTTCTATGGCTTTAAATGCTAACTACAACAATAAGTTAGATTAAGGAAATACCTAAACCAATCAACAATCTCCAATTTCCATAGGATTATCATGAAAATCTAACTTTTTTATAAACCTATGAGAATCTAAATGTATTGATAAAAGTATTACTGCAAAGCAAATTTTCAACAGAGGTTCCATTTTTGTGAATGTGGATGAGAAGTTTAAGTAATTTATCCTCTTTAGTGACTGATTTCTGTAAAACCAGGTGAAAGATATATAACCTATAGGAGTCATGATCTATTTCTGTAGAACCAGTGTCCTGCAGCTTTAAGGTTCTTCTTTGGTCAAATAAATCTGAATAAAAAAACTGAGATAATTTATTCATGAAGTTCAAACTCCATAGAGCTCAAACTCCTGCAGTCAAACTCCATAGAGCTCCACTATTAATTTAATGGTGTGAATAAAGTGAGATGATACAGATTAGTTTCAGTTTTTGGACACAGATCCTTGATGATCACTTTGGCACCATTGAGGCAGATTGTTACTAAATTATTACCTGTGGTAAACAGCAACTCTTTTACTTCCAAAGATTGGGAGATGGTTATAGGGAAGGTTTCATTTTTCAGAGTCTTTCTAAATAAATCAAGAATATCAGCTTGAACACTGGAGAGAGGAATCCTCAGTTCAAGCATCACATCAATTTCCACCAGATCTGTGGATAGAAAGGAGAAATGTTTACATTTGGTCAATAAAAGCATAAAAAAGAAAAGTTAACAATACGTATTACAGTGCAGCTCAAATTAGACCAAAAATATTAATATTCCTGGAAAATTTACAATAAAATCTTTTTAAATTTTGAACATTTATTCAAGCTAAGCAGTGTGTCTTATTCATAAATGAGATCAGCATCTTTAAAAAGATCAATCTTTAATTGGAAATTGTTAAGATCATACCATATGTTGTGGTTGGAGGAGATGTTGTACTTGGCATTTCCTCTGTCATTGTTGTCAATACTGCACATAGAAAATATACACATTAATGTCCTTCTTACTGCTTTTATGGAAAAATGTAACAATTGAGATGATAGAAAATCTTATTTAAAATGAACTATGCACAACTTCATTAACTTTGATCAGATTTTCTCTTTTTTATTCTCTGAGGCTCATCGGTAGATAATTCAGGCAGATTCTAAGTTCTTAAATATGTTTTAATAAAACAAATCATTAACTTTGTTTTTCTAAAAAATACTTTTTTTTTTTTTAAATAAAAGCAACAGTACTATTTATAGTGAATCCCAAATCAGCCCAAAATTATTCATGTCCATGTTCATGGCCATGTTTTTAAATTTTAAAGATTTCAACAACCGGTATGATACCAACATCTCTCAAAAGATGATCAGTTTAGAAAGAGTGCCATACTTAAAAATGCAAATATATTTTCATTTTACTAAAAATTGGTATTTATCAAATAATGTATACTCTATTCAATAATTAACCGAAAAGCCATTGAGGCAAATAGCTGTACAGATTTTTTGCCATTTTATATTCATAATTTATCTTTGATGTAGTCCAAGTTTTCTAGGGTTAGAGGAATTACTAACAAACTAATCTTTTGCTTTCCCCATATCCGTATGAAATGTGGATGGGTTCAAATGTTTTTACCTTCAGTCACTATGTATACTGCTTGGAACAATTATTTGTAGGGTAAGAACAAGTGCATCAAGAGTAATTAGGTAATGAAGGATTCTAAATTAGAACAGTACTTTTTTAAAGTACTGTACTGTAGAACAGTACTTTTTTAAAGTACTGTTCTTATTTACCATACCATATCATTGTTCAATATAAAGCACTTCAAGACAAACTAAGGAAGGTGCACAAAGTGCCGTATATATTTCCAATAAAAAATAGAAAATACAGGTATTTCCAACCAAAACTATAGCTATATGTCCACAGTCTAAAAAACGGAGCCTAGGCGGAAGTTCAAACTAAGTGCTTTACTACATCCACCTGCAACACAGCCAATCAGCTTTGAATCCCACCTCCACAAAAGCCAGTCGGCATCCAAAGTTCATCTTAAAAGGCCTCCGATATGCATTTGTGCTTTCTGTACTACGCAGTGTACTTCCTGTGCGCTGGCAGCGGATGCGCTGTGTGACTTCATTCAGATGACCCCGTTTCAACTCACCTCCAGCCCCTCCTCCACCCTCGTAGCTAAAGCTTCATCAGAGTGTCATTCCTCCTGGACTCTTACTGCTTTCCCTGTCTCATCTTAAGCGGTCCGGCAGAAGTCCACCATGTAAAGCCTGGTTCTGCCAGAGGTTTCTTTCCAACGGGGAGTTTTTCCTCTCCACTGTTGCTTCATGCTTGCTCATAATGAACAGGTTCTCTAAATCTGTGTTATCCAACTCGATTTCAATCTTCCAGGAACCTGAGTGAAGCTCTAGTATCAGCTCACGCAGTCCACTGGATCTCCCAACGAAGCTCAGCAAACCATCTCTCTAACCAGCAGTCTACAGACTGACCAACTTCATCTATCTCCACTCCACCACCAGTTTCAGGCCTGGGGGGGAAACAGCCCCATCCTTTGCTCCTGTTCATGCATATCTATCAAAATGAAGTGCTATGTTTCCTGCCGAGGTCTGAGCGCCAAAGAGAAAGTAATTAGATCAATACATTTCTCCTAATTGTCTTTTCTCTTCGTTTGAGTTTTTCAGATTGAACTGATGGGTTATATTATCTTCCCAAAAGCTGGGTTATTTTTATGTAGCTCAGTGGCACAAGTTTACATGAAATTAAGCATTTTCGCCTTTCTTAAAAAAATACAAATCTATATGTCAAATTGCACTATTTCAAAGAGGACCTTCCCTTTTGGAATTCATTTCCCTGACCTATGATTTTCTGTGACAAAGATGCAGCAGAACCAGCTGAACTTACTTTTAAGTTCACATGTTTCCTCTGTGATTATTTCAGTGTTAAACCCATTGCAAAATCTAGAGATTTTTTTTTTTTTATTTCCATAGAAAATTTTTAGCCTCTGGTGGCATTTATTTTGCTATTTTTTAAAGCATGTAAGCTTGAATGTGGGTTACAATAGAGAGGAAAGACATTCGGCAAAGATTTGCATGGCCAGGACTCATGGGTCATGCGCTCTACTTCCACACCATAGCAGCATCCTGGTTCTGGTGATGTAAGGGCCCAAAGTTTCAGTCACCCTACCCACTACGGGGTTTTGGACGGTCCTTAATATGGCAGACTTTTTGGGATTGGGCCACAGTGTCTGGGTTTTGTTAACAATTTAAAAAGTGTAGTTTATTGTCAAGGCTTGTCAGGAAGAATGGCTAAATAGCTAGCCACTTAGCTGCTATCGTGGACACACACATGCTAACAGCTTTTCTGTTTTATCATGGCTGTACGATCCACATGTAAGCATCTCTATATATATATATATATATATATATATATATATATATATATATATATACATATATATATATACATATATACATATCAGGGCAGTATGAGTGAAGGAAGGACAATATATGATATTGTTACCAATAACCTGATGTAGATGATGGTGTTGTTTGGGTAGTGGCTGTGAAAGAATAATGCATCATTAGATTAAAAAGAAACATTTCTTTTATAGCTTAAATATAGAAACAAACAAAACATTGACTCGTTATCCATTGTTGAAGACATTACAGTAATCAAAACAATTACTTTCTCTACACTGCAAAAAATCAAAATCTAAATAAGTCATTTTTGCTCAAATTAAGTGCAATTTTTCTTGAATTGAGGAGTTAAGTGAGACACTTTGCCAATGGAACAAGACAATTTACATTTAAAATGAGTAAAAACAATTGCTTTGTGTTCTTTCAAGTGAATATTATCTAATTATCTTGTTTTAGGATTAAAATACTCATTCCATTGGCAGATCATCTTATTTACCTGCTCAAATTAAGGGTAAATACACTTAATTTAAGCCATTTTTACTTATTTTTAGATGTTTTTTGCAGTGTATACATAATCTAAACTTTGTTGACCTCTCTTGACTGCTAAGAAAGACGTGACAAATTAAGGGGTGGCTTAACACATTGTGGTTTCTAAACAAGTTTGACGTGCACCAAGGTGTTTTCTTTTCCACACATGCCTGACAGAGTTTTCAGGCATGAGTGTTTTTTATTTCCATGCATGCCTTAAAGTATTTTCTTCCTTGTTTCCAGCTTGAGTAAATCAAGCAGCAGTGTGTTGAAAGCAACCTTACGCTAATAAAGCAACTAAAAAACAGCGAGCAGGCATGTTGTTTAGGCTAAATAATAACTATGATTGAGCACAAACAATAATCACTGCAGTGATTCAAAAATTGCACTCTTTTAATCTCTTAAATACATTTTGGATGGTTGTTGGAGTCTCTAAGCGAGCAGTGAAGTAATATTGTGTCTCTCCATGTGCTCTGTTGGTGTTATACTCTCATTTTTCATTGAATAAAGTTTTCTTTATTCCTTTACAGTTTTTAATTTTAATTAACAATGACGTTACAGTATTTGCTGCTCAACAAGGTCATGGTTTCTGGCTAATTAATTTTTATTTTTTACAGTGATTCTTTTAACCAATGCTTAAGGATAACAAAACTCAAAATTGATATAATAGTATCACACCGACAGCATCCCACAGTTTATGCAACAACATGCACCTCAGAACTGGGCGAGGAGTCTGAAGGACGACTATAATAAATTCAAACCAAACATTGCATCCCAGCTGCGAGGGTCTTTCTGCATAGAGTTTGCATGTTCTCCCTGAACATGTGTTGGTTCTCTCTGGGTACTCCGGATTCCTCCCACAGCTCAAAAACATGACTCTTAGGTTAATTGGCTTCTCTTAATTGACCTTAGATATGTGTGTGTGAAAGGTTGTCTGTCCTGGTTGCAACTGACGGCTTTGAATTTGGAGAAAGAAGTATTTATGGGCATGAAATGCCCCGATTTAACTTCAGTTTACGTGTATTAATATTATTTTTTCTGTCGTAATGATTTACCCCTCAGAAGCTTGCAAAGCAAAAAGACCATCATCTGAGTTTTTTCTAATTGTTTAAAGGTTTAATAGTCGTAGTGTATTGCATGTAAACAATAGAGTCCAGAAAAAAAATGTATAAATACATATAATAACCTGAGATTGAGCAAACATTTAATCATTTGGAAACTAAACAAAAACTGGTGGTCAGATTAAGAGTGAGCAAAGCTAGTTATTTGTATTTTTGAGAATGTATGTAAATACTTGCTTTCTATTGTACCTTATGGTAAAGGTCATAATTTGTCCTGACATCCAGTATCTGTATTGAAAGAAGGGCTATAAACCCACCTGTTTGGCTGCTGTTAAACTGACAGAACTGATCATCAGCTGGAAGGTCATTAATACAGCCACAGGTGTCGCCGATAATGGTGTCACAGACTCCATAGGTAACGCAGTTGTTATAAGACCAGGCAAAGTTCTCCTGACATGTGCACTGGTACTCACTTGTGTTTAATGAGCACACTGTGGAAAAAAAAGAAATCAGCACAGAGTGGAAACATTTCTGAAAGCGGAATGGAAATGGAAAATGTTCAGTGGAAACTTTGAATTCAGTCATGGAAATTCTAAACAAACAAGAAGTCTGTAACCTGAGCAAAGTCTGTAACCTGAGCAAAACGACTATCATACCCAATTAAACAAGAGGTATGAGGAACCATATGTCATTGTCTGTCAACAGGCTGGAAGTTGTGGGGTTTGTTTTTCTAAGAAGTACCTGTCTGTCCTCACTTTGCAGGAATATGAGTGCCCTGAGTTTGCCAACACGCTTACTAAGCATTATTTTTTTAAAAGATGAATTTACTGCACCCTGAAGATTGGATATAATTTATTTTGTAATTGAGTTTAAAATAGACATTTCCAAACTCCAAAAAGCTTCGTTGTTTTAGACATATTCCATGTAGAATTTAGGAAAACCTTATGAATAATTGGCTCAATTTCACTATACCTGTTGTGACGTCAATGTTGTAAATCTCACTGCTGTTGTTGATCAATATGGGAAAACTGAGGTTGTTAATGATAATTTGAAGATTCTCCAGGTCAGAAAGGGTTATTAGAACTTGGATCTTATAATCAGTTGCATTTGTTGAAGCTAGATAGAAAGAAGACAAAAGAAGATGCTGAGTCATTATTAGTTCCATAAATTGATATGGTATGTAGTTGACAACTAGTGTGCTTTGGAGGGACTTACTTTGTCTTTTTTCTCTGACATGAAGGCTGGGTGACCTAGTAACTCTCAAGTCCTGTAGAAATCCACAGTTTCAAACACCGACAAACAAAAGATGATTTCTTGTTTATATCATACTTTAGTCTTTCATAATAAAACAGCACAATTTCTTCGTTCTTATTATCATTATTACACACTGACCTTAAAGAAGGTGGATACAGACTGCCTGAATCCTGGTTTATCCAGGGCGTAACATAAAACCAACAGAATAACAGCAAACCGCACCACCTTTTGTAAAGCCATCCTTACTGCAGAGAAAATAAGGATTATAATTTGCAAAGCATAAAAAACACACACAATGAAGATGTGAAAATAAATCTGATAGAAGCTGCAGGTAAACACAGGTTTAAACTGCACTTAAATATCTGTAATTCTTCACTGAAGCTTGGAAAATAACCCATTCATCATTGTGAATTAGTGGAATAAAATGAATAATGAGGGTAATACCAGACGGAATGTGCGTTGGTAATGTTCACATTTGCTCTTTTAGGTTCTAAAATATCATCAGCTAATATCGCTTCTGAAATCAATCCAGTCTGTTGTAGATCCTACCTTAACAAATCACTTAAAAACATGAGTTACAGTGTAAACATTCAGACTGAAGGCTCTGCAATTTGTACAATCCCTACAATGGAAATCAGCACTTTTATTAAAAGAGATTTATTTCTGTGAGGTAAAAAACACATTTGCCACAGTTTTTGCACATTTAGCTATTGTGCCAAAATGACAGCATAGCGTGGCACACTGGCCAACGATAACCTTTGGGAATTTAATTATTTAGTTCAGATTTTCAGCAGCTACAGTAAAGATGTCCAATCTTAGATCCAATCTGAGTTGTCTCCTGGGTCTTTTAAAGGAAGTTCACTGTATTTATTCACTGTTTATTTAGAATAAAAGTTCAGACAAGGCTTAAAATTATGTTTTGTTGTTTTGGTTTGACTGTAGAGGGGAGTGGCGGCCTAGTGCTTAGGGCATAGAGCTTGGAATCCTGAGGTTCTGAGTTCGAGCCTCACTCTGACAGACTACAACCATGGGTCTCTGGGCAAAGAAACAGCAAAAACAAAACAAAACAAAAAAAAACACCAAAACTATTCAATTTCCTTTTACATTTTTGTATTTGTCCATGAAACAATGATACACAATTACCAAAAAAAAAAAAAAAATGCATTTATTACAATGCACGGAACTTACATGGACAATAATAATTGAAAATCCAGATTCTGTGATTGTTCAGCTGCAAAATGTGCAGCAAATACACAACACTTAAAATCAATAAGACCTTTTAGAGTGTCTCCACACAGCTGCTCAGGGCAGTGCTGAGAGGAAGGCATTCAGGCAAAACTTGACTCAATTTTATTTTTTGGCCAACCACAGCAGCAAGGCGGCAATAAATATTCACAAATAACATTGCTCCAAATAATTTACTGAAGACTGAGCTGATTGTCTGAACATACCAAATTAAGCAAACAAAACCTCTCTTTAAGTTTATTCAACTATTGCAGAGAAAAATTTGTGTCAATCTCTATGAGTATGTATCTCAAAACATAAAACTGATCAACTCAATTTAAGCTGTTCTTTATGTCCATCAGTCACATAATGACTTCTACCCTTATCACTGAGTCTTATCATGGGATCATGCATTCCCTGTGCATGCTTCTTGGAGAAAATCTGGATTTTGTACTGTATCTGAGCGGACTGGACATAGCAAATGTAAACTTGGAGTTAAGCAATAAGAAACCAGACACATCTACTTCAACAAAACACACAATCTTTTGTTTCATGCCCTACCCAAATATTTAAGACTTCATAACAATGCATCCTTTGTCTCTATTAGAGATGGCTTCAGAATAAGTAGACTTTGTAGCTTATTTTACAAACCTAACCAGTATTTGGTGCATTTGGAATCAGAACATGAGTATCTAAAGAAATGGCTATAATCTCAAATAAGACAAATTAAGAAAAAAAACAACCTGACTGAAAAGTAAGTTTATTACCAAGTTGCCCAACAAATTTTGTAGTTTTAATTTTTCCATGTGCTAGGACAGGTTTTAAAATGCCAATTTCACGGATTTAAAGATTAACAAAAAAAAACCCCAAAACACTCAGTTGACAACGAAAGGCTGAAAAGTTTGGAGAAAGATGAGAGAAGAACTCCAGAATAAATAGTTGCCAGACCATAGTAATAATAATAAAAACAATTTGAATAGACTCTTGGAGAAGGCTAAAGCATAAGGCTCTTGAAACATGCAAGGGTTAACATTGTAATCTTACTCATCAGTCATTATTTGCTGTTTTCTCCTTTTTAGTTAAACCTCAGATAGATAGAGCCTCTTTCAAAAGACTGGCAACTTAATATTTTGCTTCTTAAATAGATATAACCTTCCATTAAAAATGGTTGTTAAGTTCCAACAGGAGATTTGGAGTTCCAGGTTTATATTCTAAAACCATGTTTTAAATGGATGGATGGATGGATGGATGGATGGATGGATGGATGGATGGATGGATGGATGGACAGACGGACACATAATTTGTGAACAAGAGAGTGTTAAACCTCACTATCTTCAGATATTTTCAGTGAACAAAACGTGAGTTACTTCTTTTCGGACTCGTGTATCAAAAGGATACAGTTTCATAATAAGTATTTGCACTTAGAAAGATTCATACAGTTGATAATTTGTTAGATTAGTTTACAAGTAAGTTGTGCCAAATAAAATACTCTTCACTGTGATTATAGGTTCCTGTTGAGCAAACTATCATTTATCACCTTTTTTTTTTTACTTCCCTGTCAGCAAAACTAAAAGTAAAAGTTGTGTTTGTAATTATTGGCTAAGACAAGAGATATTTTCCAAAATCAAATAAACATAAAGTAAACTTTAAAAAAAAATGAGTCAATACTAAAACTTACATTCAAATGGAATCTTTGCAACTTCAATTCTCTAATTTTCTATTTCAAAGAAAAATAAAATTTGGAGATTCTCAAAATCTTAACATTTCTTTTTAAAAAAATTAAGTGAGCATGGAAAGACCCTTTGTTAACAACCATTTCAAAAAGAAACAAAGCCAAAGAAGATTAAGTGATACTTCTTTCAATTTTCAAAAAAAGTAATGTTTCTGTTCCCTCAATGGAAAATTCATTGCAGGAATTTCAGTGTTGAGAAATCAAATTTTAAATATAAAGGTTCAGCTTCAACTAAGCATGAACTCATAAAAGTAGAATAAAGTTTTCTAGGATGAGAATTTTTATTAAATTACTTTACCTCTCCATGTAGCCTGGCTTTCAAAGAGACTGGTGTTCTGTAGTGCATGCTTTTTATTGCTCTCCTTTAAATACTGAGATGATAACTGGCCTTAACAGGGAAAGTCCCTACTGTTACCTTCCTGGAGTAGTTTAAAAAAATCACAATCATTGCATAATCCCAAACAAATGCACATTTAGTCATTAGTTTTGCTGTGTGGTGTGATCTTTATTTAGTTTTCATAATATCTTGTTTTACATACCTTCTCATAAAAATAAAGTTAGCTGGAAAAAGAAAAAAAAAAACCCAGGAGGGTTTCAGTTGAAACTGAAAAATAAGGATTCGGGTAATTTTATACCCGAGCAGTCACAGAATAAACTGGTTTTAATTTGTGAGCAAGCACTTCCTTGAAAGGATTCCAGAGAAATCTTTGTTATTCCTTTTTTTGCAACCTCCTAAGCCATGGTTCATAAAATGGGGTTAGTGATAATCCACTGTTAATTCTGGAGTAAATTCCTGCATACCCTGGTTTTTCAGCTTTAGAAAACTAGACCACTGTTACCTGAAGTAAAACTTTGGCAAAAAGTTACCTAATGAATCAACTCTGCTTGGTGCAGATTTTTTTCTAAGATATCTACATCTCAGTAATCTGCCATGGATTCATTTTTGTTCAGAGATAGTGATTAGATTAGAGACAGTGATTAAATGCTTTATGATATTTGGAGGAATATCGCTTCATAAAGTTTGCTTCAATAAAGAAGAACATATTTAAATATTTTTGAATGAATGAATGAATGAATTAATAAATTGGAATTTATTTGAAACAATTTTGACAAACAACAATAACTGAATCAATCAAATACACACTGGACTAGACTGGTTAATATGGGGCCAAAATTGTTGCTTTATTATTTGCAAATGTGTGTGGAGAGTTGTGTATCTGTATCTCGATTTGTGTATATGCAGAGAGATTTGAAAATGGTTTAAATGAAACTGTAAATGTGTGAGGAGATTTATGTGTCTGTAAAACAATCTGCAAATATGTAAAACTACTGTGTGTGTAATCCGGTTTTCAAATGTGTAAAAAATCCATAAATCTGATTCAGATTTACAAATCTGTAGTAAGATTAGCAAATGTGTAGATCATCTGTAAGCACGCACAGAGACATTTATGTGTGTAATATTTTCGCTTCAAGACCCAGAAATACAGACAAATATGTCGTTTCAAGTCGAGCGGTTTCTCGGTTGGCTCTCTTTACACATGTGACTTTTGCTACACTTCTGCCGTGTGAGATCTGCAAATGTGTAAAGGATTTGTATGTGTAATATCTGGATTTGCTGCATTTACAGATTGATCTAGATTTGTGGATTTTTTGCACATTTGCGAACCGGATTACACACAGTAGTTTTACATATTTGCATATTGTTTTACAGACAACACAAATCTCCTCACACATTTACAGTTTCATTTACACATTTTCAAATCCCACTGAAAACACAAATCGAGATACAGATATACAACTCTTAAAACACATTTGCAAATAATAAAGCAACAATCTTGGCCCCATAGCTTTACATCAAACCAAACACCAATTTCCAAACTAACTAAATTCACCTGAACATAAATACAAACAAAACCATCCACCAAATAGCTTTGAATTGGATCTTAGCTGATTTAACTATAATTATACTTTATGTTCACCTGCTCCCTTCTGTTGCCTGTTTAATTCCATGTAGACACATATTTAATGCTAACCAAAAATGCCATTTTTCTTGGACATTGAATGCTGAAATACAGTATAATGGTGCCTCAGCGATTATCTCCCAATTGTCAGTGCTTGTGACTGCTCCAATTTCTGGCTCTGCTGCTCCATGGTGCTTCTCTATATAAAGCTGTCTCCTCCAGAGTCCAGCTGCCAGATTCTCTCAAACCCTCATGCAAGTAGACCATCCAGCAGGTGCTTTTTTTTTTGTTTTTGTTTTTTGTTTGATCTCTTATGATTGACTTAGCTTATTTTTGGACTCCTGCCTATTTCCTTCTTCCCTATCAAACTCTCCAGTAGTGATGGCACTGGCATGAGCCAGTGAACAAATTTGAAACAATTGGCCAAAACTCAGTACCATGCTCGATACATTTCATAGTTTTGAATGGCGGCACCTGCTGGATAGATAAAGAGCTACATTTGAGAGGGTATGTCCCTATTAATTCTTTGCTGAACTCCATGATAATAGTATTGACAATGACAGTATAAATAAAAAAAAAAAAATAATAATCTGAATTGTGAACTGTGTATGTGTTAAACAGCCCTCCTGATGCATAACAGCATTTGGAGTCTCTCTGAGTGGAATATTATGTAGTTATTCAAATCCATTTGATTTATTTATGTAGCGCCAATTCACACACGGGTCATCTCAAGGCACTCTAGAGATACAAAAAAAGCTAAATCATATAGTCAGATTGCTTCAAAGTTTTCTAAGGAAAACCAGCTGATTGCACCGACTTATTGACTCGAAATCAATCCCTGACACCAAGCATGCATGTAGCATGAGGTTTCATTACTTTTTTTTAAGGTAGTCGAAGAGGGAAGCAGAGAGAAATGATTTATAAAAGCATTTATTGACTGCTTGGAAAGTCTGCCAGTCAGCAGGTATTTTCAGAGTTTTTTTAAAGTGTTTAACAGAGACGTTAGCACCTCGACGTCGGAGTACACAGAGTGAAGCGAAAAGACTACAACTGTGTAAACAGGCCCCATTTCCGTTTCCGGTGGCAGGGGAATATTGACTATTCCAACAGAACTCAATGGGATTTACAAAATGCTAAATAAAACACTACAGGAACGGTTTTTCTTCACAAAACTTTTTTTGGAACGTCATTGAACAGCGCTGACGACCCGGTGAGTAGCATATTTAAAAAAAAAGAACGTTTAAGGTTGTTTTAAGGACATTATCGGACATGCTCTATGCTAGCCATTCTAAAGCAGCCAGGGGTGGATTCTAAATGAGCCAAAAAGCAGAGACAGGACCAATTGTCAAAATTTTGGTGTCGATCATTCGATTTCATCCTGGACACTACAGAAAATGGGCTAAAAGTGTTAAAAACCGAACTTCTCCTTTAAGTTCAAGCCCAGAGGAAGGAGTGAAATCCAGCTGGATGATTTTCCACATTATGAGCCATAACCTGTGTCTATGAAGTAGCAGAAGCCCAGGCCAGAAGATCAGAGTTTCAAAAAGGTACCGTAAGGAAATCCAGGCTGCAGTCAGGAGACAGACCCAAGGTCATAAGCGGACAGAATCTAACATGAGTCTGAAGACAGGTCAGGCAAACAGATCAGAACAGGGGCAGGCAGGTTCAGAGGTCAGGGAGCAGAAACTAGTGAGGATCGGACAATCAAAGTAACAAACTAGGTACGCTAACCTTTGTTTGCAATTACAAAGGTCACACATTTCCTATAGTTTTTCACCAGGTTAACACACAATGCAGGAGGGATTTGAGCCCACTCCTACATAGATCTTCTCTAGATCAGTCAGGTTTCTGGGCTGTCAATGAGAAACACGTAGTTTGAGCTCCTTCCAAAGATTCTCTATTGGGTTTTGGTTCTTCCTTTTTGTAATGATTGCTCAAACAGCAGATCTTTTTACAAAAAGCTGCTTGGCAATTTCCCTGTAGCTCTTCCCAGCCTTGTGGAGGTGTACAATTTGTCTCTAGTGTCTTTGGACAGCTCTTTGAACTTGGTCATGTTAGTAGTTGGATTCTTACTGATTGTATGGGGTGGACAGGTGTCATTATGCAGCTAACAATCTCAAACAGGTGCATCTAATTTAGAATAATAAATGGAGTGGAGGAAGACATTTTGAAGGCAGACTAACAGGTCTTTGAGGATAAGAATTCTAGCTGATAGGCAGGTGTCTGAATATTTATTTGCAGCTGCATCGTACAATTTAAATGCTGGATTTCTTTAATTTACTAGTCTCCCAGTAGACATAGACCTAGCAAGTTATAAAAAAAATCCTCCAAGCATCTTCATTTATTACTATGCACACTACCTGAATCATATTATCTCGCAAAGAGGTGCTAAAATTAAACAGTGGGGGATAAAAGAATTCTCCCACCTAAGTGGCCTAGAAGACTTATTTATAAGATCCCCTAAATGCATGAAACTCTAGAATGAAATAAACCAGTGGAGATTGCCCAGAGTCTCTAATAAGGTGTTCTCCACATCACATTTAGGTTGCACTGTGTATGAGAGGAGAGAAGAACTTTTAGAGGTTTTTGAGTTCATTGCAATCAGCTGGGATCCTTCAATAGAACCTTTTTGACTGATCTGTTTTAATTTGAGTACATTTTCACATTTATTTTTACATTCATCTTGACAGGGGTCCCTTCAAACTGAGCCTTGTTCTCTGAGAGGTATTTTCTGTTAAAAGGGTATTATTCCTTTCCTCTGGTGCATACATGCTGAACAGTATGTGAAGGATTGCTACAGAATGTCTACTGTCACTAAATATTCATAAAGGGAAGCAAATTATGCAAAGTCAGACACTGTATTATATCAGCTTGATTTTCTTAGATCGTTTTTAGCCAACCTGTCTATGATTTTAATAAACTGTCTCTGTAGTTCCTTAAAATGACATGTTGTGAATTATATAAAAGTTTAAGTTAAATCTACACTTTTACATGCTGTAGGACAGACTGGAAGAAAGTGAGAAGATTAGTGAGAACAGCAGAGAAGATAATCAGGGTTCCTCTTCCTTCCATAAAAGACATTTCTTTCCAGAGCTGCTTGCCCCGAGGCCGTAACATCATTAATGATCCCCTACACCCCCACCATGGACTGTTCTAACTGCTGCCCCCAAGGAAGAGGCTTTGCAGCATTTGATGCAGGTCCAGCAGATTCTGCAACAGATTGCCCCCCCCCCCGCCATCAGATGGCTGAACTGTTGAAAAATTTCTAAATCATGTCATAGACTCTGCATCCCACTGACAACACCAAACCAAAACACTGCATATTTGTACCATATATATTTAATGCTCTGAACTTCCATCTCAATGCGTTTTTTTTTTCTTTTTTTCCACCCTACATATTTTTTTCTCGCACTGTTTACATTTGATCACTGCTGCAAGGAATAAAAATGTCATGAAACAAACCGAAATACACACCGTGTATACAAAATGTCAATAAAAGTTGTTTAAGCCTAAGTCTGAGAATTCAGATTTCACATTTTTGGGATCCAAAAAGAAGTTAATGAGTTATGGTCTTGACACACAGGATACAACAGCAGCATCAACGCTTCGTAATCATTCTTTTAAGTCACTTAACTTCCAGATACATGATAAGTTAAGAAAGTTGAGGAATTTTTGTTTTTATGTATTTTATTTTCATAGTAGTCTCTGATAGTCAAGGTAACGGGAAGTGGTGGGCTAGTGGTTAGGGCATAGGGCTTTGAATCCTGAGATTGGGAGTTTGATCCCCCATTCCCCCAGTATGCCACTCTGGCTCCCTCAGCAAGACCTTTAACCCCACACTGCTCCCCGGGCGCCGCATAATGGCAGCCCACTGCTCCCCAAGGGGATGGGTTAAATGCAGAGATAAATTTCTCCAATGTGAGATCAATGATGTTAAATTTAATTTATTTATTTAACAAGGATGAAGAGTCAGAAAATTAACTGGAACTTACTTTAACAAATCTTATGATCCAGGAAATTCAGACACAGCTAAAATTATGTGTTTTTCCATTTTGAAACTGGTTGCAGACTGTAGTGTTTGTTGAGCTCCGCTTTATTTTATTATGTCAATTATACTCTCACTGATTGGTCTTAGTACAGCAAATACACTTCAAGGTCTTACCATTTTCGTCTATTTCACAATATTTTGTGTGTACTTTCACTTTCACTTGTATGAACTCAAATTTTCACAAGCACAAACTTCCCAACTGTTTTGGTCTGGGAAGGGAAGCGACTGTTACTTCATTGCACAGGTTCCATAGGAAATTAATGGAGGGAGTGACGTTGCCTCCTGTGCGCCCAGCCCTTGAGCCATAAAAGCTTGTTCTAAGACTGTTTTAGCTCAGAGCAACCAACACTGACACACTGACTGGTTTCACAGAGACTCACATGGCTGTGCGCCACTTACACTTCTGCTCTGACACAGTATAAGGGTGAATCTGCAATATAAGAGAAAAGTCAGGGAGGGGTTGTAACGTATATATATTTTTTGGCATGGTGAATGCATTTTATAAGAGTGATTGTTTTTATTTTCATAGATCTTAGATCCAATCTTTATGGATAACGGGACTGGTGTTTTAACTCACTTACTTAATTTATGTTTTGAGATGAATCTGCTTAGTTACAAATCAACAACTCCTGCTGTGTGTGTCATATTGTATGTTTTCCTGACACTTTTGTCTCTTGTCACAGTATGTGGAAACCTCCTTGTAATAATTTCTATATTTTACTTCAAGCAGCTCCACACTCCCACCAACACTCTCATTCAATCTCTGGCTGTAGCTGACCTGTTGGTTGGTGTTCTTGCTTTTCCATTAACAATGTCATTCACTTTTAGCTTATGTTTTTATGACAATAACATGTTATGTAAGATAAAAAACAGCTTTGATGTATTGCTCAACACATGCTCTATTTTGCACTTGTGTTGCATTTCAGTTGATAGGTATTATGCAGTGTGTCAGCCTCTTGCATATAGATCTAAAATCAGCCTCCATGTTGTGATCATCATGATCGGTGTAAGCTGGGGTGTTTCAGTTGTTACTGCAATTGTAGTGATAATTTCTAGATTGGACACAGAAGAATGTGCAGATGCATGTTTTATTGACATTATGATGACAAACATTGTGGGACCTTTAATATCCTTTTACCTTCCAGTGGTCATAATGCTTTGCATCTACCTGAAGATATTTGTTGTTGCACAGAGACAGGCACGGAGCATCCAAACCAGGACAAACTCTGGAGCAACTGTCAGTAAGATGGAGAGAAAAGCCACCAAAACTCTGGCAATTGTCTTGGGGGCATTTCTGTTTTGCTGGGCTCCTTTTTTTCTTTCCCTCACTTTTTTACCTTTTACTAACAGTTTTGTTGTGGTTCCAGTGATAGAATCAGCTGGTTGGTTTGCACTGATCAATTCAACTCTAAATCCGTTTATTTATGCTTTCTTCTACACCTGGTTCAGGTCAGCTGTTAAAATGATACTTTCTGGGAAAATATTCTTTGGCAACTATGGTAACTTAAAGTTAAACTAAGGAAAATATAATGGTAAAAACATATTTAAAAAGAAATTACTGTGGAGGATATCACATTTTATTAATGCAGTTGTAGCTTAAAAAAAAGTAGAACAATGTCCTTGTCTGGTTTAAAAAAGAAAAAAAAACATTTTCTATAATCCTCTTAAACCTATCTTACTATACAATATATATTCTACTGTGGAAAATTTAATTGTAATTAGATTACAATTAGACATGACAAACCTTTTACCGTTGTGAAAAAAAAATCTGTGAAATGTTTTATTTTTTTGATTGAATCAAACAATCAGAGGAACATTGTAAACACTCTTATGGAGGTGCTGTGATTCCATGTCAGACATACTGAAAGGATAGTCACTCATGCAGAAGCTACTGTACTTCTGCATTGATCAGGATATAACAGAGCTTTTCTCTTGTTTAAAAAGAGATCATTTCAACTTTAAAAATGTTACCCGGTAGCTGCATCTTTCCTTTGTTTGCATCCCCTCCAGAAAAACAGCTTCACATTAATACATCCAGCTGTTTCAGGAGAGATGGTAATTGCTGAATTTTTTAGTGCAGAAAAGCTCCAAAACTTTTTGAGGCAATGAGAGTGTGTATCGACTGTAGTGGGGGAAAAGTATTCAACTATTTACCCTAGTTAAACAAACGGAGATTGATGGATTTCACTCAGTCGGCACATTTATTCATATCTTTGCAAAGAGAGAACAGTTCATCATACAGCCCTTACGGCACAGCATTCAGCCCTTTTCTGACTGAGCAGCGTTTGTTCCCCCTTACTTACAACAATACAAAAGTAGTCAGAGTCAAAAAAAATACAGACACTTTGGTTAACATGGCAAGTAACATGTTATGAATAAACCCTGAGAAAGAATTTGGTTTGTTATGGGAAGAAGCTATGTCTGGTCTACAAACACCATCCTGCAGAGAACTGTGTGGCCTTGAAGGTGAAATAGACTGAGTGAAAACTTTTATAGTGAGTAAATAGGATAAATTAATATATAAAAGAAGAGAAATCTAAATTTTCCGACAACACGACTCTCTATTCACATGGTGTTTTACTCACCATATTGATTCGACAGTGTTGTCAGCTGAAAGCAAGTTAGTTTAAGGAAATGAATGAAGAAGCAGTAATTGACAGGTTTTCCATATGGAAACCAATCAACAGCTTCCTCATGTTTTCCTCTTAAAAGTGGAGAAATGTTGTTGCATATAATGAAAAGCCAGAGACAGTGGAGAACCTTTGTGGATTATAGTGTGTCTAATACAATACCTACAATTGTTTTTTTTTTGTCAAAGTCTTTGCTTCTCAAAAGTTAATAAAAGGGATCTAATGGAGTGTGACTGTTATTTCTGTGCACAGAACAAAGACTTAATAAGCACTATGGAAAAAGGACAAACCCCAACCTTAACTCAATTCACACCTTAATCCTAAACTTGATGCCTGACCTCAAAAAAAGCAATTGCCCATGTGGGTCTAGCCATTGGGCAACAAAAAGAGCAGTTGGTATGCACACTGTGCCATTTTCCTTGTAGATGGTGTTGTGGCCTGAGAAAACAGCTTACAAAAATAAAAGAACCTCTGATGTTTCCATTGAGGCAAACGCAACAGGAATTCAACAGTATTTCCAAAGCTTAAATTTAGCTTTAATTCTATGTCAAACCAAATGTGGCAATTAAGTAAAGAATTTTATTTATTTATATCTATATATATATATATATATATATATATATATAT